AAGAATAAAGTTACGTTGAAACCAAGCACACCATTGTTTTTCTTGTGACATTGCCAATAGGTTTGATGTGTCACATGGCCCTCTTCCTATTGAAAAAACAAAAGTTGTATCCAAGATGGCCGACTTCTAAATGGCCACCATGGTCACCACCCATCTTGAGGAGTTTGCCCCCTCACATATACTAATGTGCCACAAACAGGACTGTAATATCACCAACCATTCCCATGTTATTACGGTGTATCCATATAAATGGCCCACCCTGTACTCTATTACAAGGTCTTGATCAGAAATTTTACCAGGTTCAATAAAGCAAAAAAAAAAAAAAAAAATTAAAACTGCATTATAAATTGGATAAAGATTTTATCTCTTGCGTAGCAGTGATTCTCAATATTTGTCATTTTAGGAACTGCACAGAAGCCTGCTTTAAAAAGAAGACCTTGGAGTGAGAATGAGCAGGCTGCAGTGAAACGTTACTTGAGTGAATTTATCACAAGGATGAAGGTTCCGGGCAAAAAGGAGTGCAATGCTTGCATAGCTGCTGAGCCAGATCTCGGAGGAAGATCTTGGACAGACGTTAAAAACTATGTACACAACACACTACAGACAATACGTAGGAGAAATAACATACAGAAGTCTGAGGGGAACCTTAATGTTTTGAATCCAAAGAGATCAAAAGCTGGAGTCCAAACCACAAAGACAACTTTGGAAGACACAAGCACTGTGTGTACTATGACAACAGTCGACCCAGATAACTTGAGAGAAAGTTCAAATTGTTGCATGACAATGCCGCCGCCGCCACCAGCAGCCAACTTGGGAGATGCATCACCATTCTGCCAAGAGATTACTTCAAGTTACGCATCCTTGTGCTCATCTAGTACAGATATGGTCCATACAAGTCAACCATTGATTTCTACTTTCACACCATTGAATGCTACTGATACGCAAGTTGTTCCTACATTTACTCCACACAACACTACAAATGCCCTAATGCCTCCTCCATACACTCCAGAAAACAGCAGAATTATGCCATTGTCTCCTTCATATACACAGAATGCTACAAACATGTCACCTCCTTCTGTGTATGTACCACAGGACACTACAACAACACAAATGATTCCTTCGTTTACCTCTCTTAATACTCCAAGTACCTCAATGGTTCCTACATTCACACAGTTAAATACTATAAGTTCTCCAATGGTTAATCCATTCTCAACACTTAATGATGGAAGTAGGCCTATTATGTCTTCGTTTACACCTCTAAACCATTCAAGTTCACCACCTTACCCCTTAAGCCCATCGAGGGGCCCTGCAGCTGCACAGGTTGTCCCAACAATCCACGGACCCAGTCTTTCTGACAGAAGTCCGGTGGTACCTGAAAATGCTCCTATGTCTTCTGCAGGAAAACAAATCAATCCAGCTGTCAAGCCTCAAAAAAGAAACAAAAGGTTGTGGAGTGAGGAAGAACAGGCAGCAGTGAGGCGACAGCTTGGAGACTTCTCTAAGCTGGTAAAAGTGCCGGGCAAAAAGGACTGCGATGCGTGTTTAGCTGCTGAACCTGCCTTAAGCAGCAGAACATGGAGGGAGGTCAAATATTTTGTACATAATTCTATTCAGTCACTCAAAAGAAGAGGTCATACTGTTGCATCCAAACAAAGTGGAGGACAAGATCCAGAGACTCATAATTCAAACTCTGAGTGGGATGGTCCTGTTTATCTGTCCCTGTAAATGTTATTTGACATGCAGTATAACCACACGTTATCAGCGAGGTCTTAGACATGAGAGGGACATCACTTTACCTCAATTTGTATAAGGTATACAAATGAAACTGATGGAAATTGGTGTAACATACCATCGTAGCCACAAGACATTTAAAGGCAGCCCTTTTATTCTTCAAATTAAAGACCCCAGAGTATCCCGGATCACGTTCAAGCATAAATTAAGCAATCAATTGCACAAATATACACTAAATGGGTGGAATTAGGGATGTTTGTACTGTAGCTTTGGCTTACAAGAAAATAAGCTTAGAATGCATATACTATCTAACAATGTCAGGTTGTCTCTAGGAAATATTCTAATTGAGTTTTGTGATTGTTTAGCAGACTTGAACCTCATTTTTGCCTGTAATGTTTCACTAGTGAAATCATCTTTGGGTGACAAGTAGTGCCACCCAAATATGCTTCCCCACACTGTAGTTGTAAAAATGATAACACCAAGAGTTGTTTGGAAATCCCACCTCCACTGTGGACAGGGCAGCCCATTTTAGAGCACAGATGGCCTCTGACTGGGCATTTACAGGGGGATTTTTACTTGTCTTTGACATGTACTTTATGCATCCGTCTTACTGCCTGTATCAATTTTAGTAGCATTTTTTAATGTGTTTTGGTGATTAGAAATCAAAAGCCTACCAGCAAACCTTTGCAGTGAAACCGTCCAGCGTGATAGATTTACTTTGCCGTTTACCCAAACAAGCCCAGGTGTACTATATTCCTGCTTTAGCCAGTAGCATATATTGTAGATAGCTTGCAGCAGTAATGATATACCTTCCTTGCTGACAATAGAGAATTAGGAGCTGTGTGTATCTATAGCTGAAATATAAAAAGCACTTTCTTTCTTTAAAGATCCACTTAATACTTATCTATTATTATCCTTTGTTATCTTTATCTTTAACAATCTGCCTAAAAGGTGTGTTGTATTTTTGTATACCCATACAGTGACTGTGTATAGCATTTTAGCATTTAATTGTATTTAGTGTACTCTAATTTTAGTTGAAATACACTACATTTGACTCATTTACATTACTTTATAGTATGTTTTTATTTTCTAGATGTTTATAACATTAATATCCAGTTGCCAAGAACAAATTGCCTTATGGCTGGGTTGCTGTCGTTCCCACTGGCTTCCACTTTGTCATAATACCTGCAGAAGCAGCATCCCTGGGTGCTTGTTTTTGCACACCTGTGGCCGTGGAAGTGATTGGAATATTTGGATGGGTAACTGAATACTTTTGGCAATATACTGTATGCATAATTGTCTAGCAGACATTAGACAGAGGATGAGGATGTTAGTTTCTGTTTACGGTTTCTAAGTATATTTCGCATTTCATTTTAAGGAGGAATTTGTGGCTTGGTTAGTTCAGCCCAGAGTGATGGATACAGGTTTGGACACTAATGAAGCACTTCCTCATGTTCAGTGTGTTGCTTCTTTCAGACTGGACATTCAACAAGAGTTGTGGTGTTGATGATCTGTTATTTAGGTCAGTCAACTTTGTAGATGCCATAGTCAGGACATTTGCAAAGAAAATTTAATCTTGAGTCATTTTTACCAGTAAATATTCAAAGACTGGACAGCATTGCTGCTTTTATTCACATTTAAAAGCTTTTCTGTTAAGATCAATAGTAGTTGTAGTGAACCTGTTTTTAAGAAACCAGTGTTTGCCCTTTCATACCAAAGCTATTAGTGTTGGACACACATAAGACTGACTGCAATAAGTTACACAGCCAGGTTAGATGGCACATTGCCATGTGATTTTCATCACGCCTTTCCTGTGTTGTTGCCGCCTTGTTAAAAAGGGTACATCTGTGTTACAGTGTATACCAGTAGTTACATATACAGCTGTATTTGGAAGATGAATCTGTGAATGGTATTGATGGTAATGATACAAGTGATTGTTCAGACACTACCATTGTTGTTTAATGTTGCAAAACTAATGTTTTTCCCTGCGTAGAAGTTACATTGTTTTTATTGCTGTTGTATAAGCACTTTATGTATTAGTCTTCATGTTTCCTTCAGTTAATACTTCATATCAAAAATCTGCTTGTACAATAAAATGCTTCTTGGCTTAAAATTTTAAAACGGGTGACAAGTGTTAAATGATTTTCCCGTTTATTGGGTGAAGGTTTGCAGCTGTATTGATTTGATAAACAAGACTATTTTATACTCATGCTAACAGTAAAATTATACTTGGTCACATATTTTGATGTTTAAAGTGGCCGTGCAAACATGTTACACATGTTCAATATCTGAAATTGATATGTCAGCAAAGTAACTATTGCTAAACAGCATTAAAATAGCTGAAACTCCAGGAAATCTCAAGGTGCATGCATTTGTCATAAACCACGTAATAAAATGCTGATTTGATGATAAAATTACCAAAATAAAATGTCAGAACAAGTAAGCCTCACAAGCCAGTTACACTTGTACACATTTCAGTTCCTGACTTTGGGTAGTTGTAGATGTGTGTGGTTCTAGCAGCAGACGAACCCAGATATGGGTCAAAAGAATCTATACTCTGTGCAAAAGTAATGGTATAAAAATCCAAAACATTTCATCGCCCAAAGCAGTGCGATGACAAGTCGACGTATTCCTAGAATCTCAAGGCTACTTTGGTAAACAGGCTGTATTAAGTGTTTTCTAAATACATTTTTTTTATAGTAAATATTGATTATTATTGTTGTCATGCAGATATGTAAATGTGGTTCTCACTATCCTTTTCACAAGTATTTTTTTTTATTGTTTAGGTTTTTAATATTGAGACTTTGTACATTTTAAAAAAAAATCTATTTCTAACCCATATTTTTGTGAAGATGTTCAAGTAAATATATCACAACGTAATACTATATTAGCTTCAGTTTTGCACAACGAGGTATTGATATTAAACTTGGAAACTGATAAGCAGGTTATTAATCATCTTCAAAAGCTGCCTGTTGAGCATTTAGTCTTCTGTAAGTAAAATTGTAAACAGTGATATCTATGGTACTTCTCAAGACAGCAAGATAGACATGACCACTGTAACGTCACCCATTGTTTAAGGTGGTCGTATTAGTCAGTCATCAAAAAGAATGCAGGTTTAAGATACAACTGTGTTAGGTTTTGTTTTCAGATTAGGAAACCAAGCCGGTATTATATACAGTTTGTGGTATATGGTAAATATCTAACTAAAACTTGGAGAATATTGACTGCCTGCACTGGTTAGTACCTAAATCTGGATTGGTAAGTATTTAGCAGGGATATCACCATAACTTTATTATTATACGAATAATGATTTCATTGTGTTTGCAAATGGGGCATTGTACAAGGAGCTTCTCTTCAGTGTTGTGTACAAAACATGCCCAGAAAACTGCACATGGTAATTCACTTTTTAGCCATTTCTATACAGTGCAATGGACTCCACTGCAGGTCTGTAAAAAGCTTGTTGTTTTACAGCCTTTGTTTATAGTTCTGTGTCTATCTGTTTGTGTGCAGGATGGCAGTTGTATGACCCTCACCATGCTGGCAGCAATAGGGGGGCAGGATGACATCCTCAGGTTACTGATTAAAAAGGGGGTGAGAGTAAATAAACGACAGAAGAATGGCACTACAGCCCTGATGCATGCTGCTGAAAAGGTAACTCTATCTTTTATGTAAGTTAATCCTGCAGCCTTTAACTATACTGTGCATACAATTTTAATTCAAATTCTCAGTGAAAGCCAAACCAGTCAAAGACTCTGAAATAAAGGCATCTGCCTCTTTTGTTTTATCTTATAAACACTTGATTCTCGTTTGTGTCATCCCAGAATTGTTTGACAACTGTTGCAATCCTACTGGAGGCCGGGGCTTATGTAAATGCTCAGACGCTGAGTGGAGAGACGGCGCTGATGAAGGTAACACTAGACAAACACTGACGGTCACTTTGGTTTTAATTAGTGCAAAATTACAGTTTGCATGCAGATTACAAATGGTGCTGTTTCACAGCAGATCAGTCAGAAATTATATATTTATTTTATAGTCCTTACCTGTGGTGTACTGGTATGAGGTTTCTTTAGAGAAGTTCATTACGTCCTTCCTTTTAGGCATGCAAAAGAGGGAATGCTGATGTTGTGCGCCTCCTGCTGGAGTATGGAGCTGACTGCAACATCCTGTCCAAACACCAGAACACAGCTATGTACTTTGCCCAGCAAAGCAAAAACCTGACGGTGTGTGACCTCATCAAGGACCACATCAGCATGTGAGTGCTAACCACATCATAATTTCATCAGTTTGGTGATGTTTTTGGAGACAGCATAGTGTGAATTAATATTTAAAGAGACAAACATTTACTTTGGTTTCTATCCTCAAAGGGAATGTCAGTAAATTTTGTCCTGCACTGTAGTGGTAAAACCGACCAGTTTTACTACCAAATATATTTGGTTACACAGAACTAATTTATGTTGCAGGCTGTCCAGTGTGGCGGAGGACACCATCCGAGCATACTTTGAGTCTCGTCTGGTGCTGTTGGAGCCCGTCTTCCCTCTGGCCTGCCACAGGCTTTGTGAGGGTCCAGACTTCTCTATGGATTTTACCTTCAAGTCACAGCCTCAACCAGAGGGTAACCCCAAATTTTTACATATTTTTACATTACCTGATATGCAAAAACACCACCTAACTCGAGAGGTGGAGTATTTGCTGTTTTTCTGTTGCCAGACAGATTCATGAATTTTGTTTTTGTCATGTCTGGCCACACTTGGCGAGGATGCTACTCTTTTAGTAGCTTTATGCTACTGATACATTTTTTACAGACTGCATAAAAGGAGGATAACACTGCAGACATCAGATACTGAGTACTGATGAAAAGAATAGAATAGAATTCAACTTTATTGTCATTGCACATGCACAGGTACAGGGCAACGAAATGCAGTTTGCATCCATCCAGAAGTGCTTTAGCCATGATATAGATATATTACAATATATATTAGCTGTAATATAGATATGTAAGTATATTACAGAAATGGGTCTATTATGGTATGTTATAATGTACACAGTATGAAGTATGTTATGAATATTCTATAACTATAAATATGTACAGGCTGTAGTGAGTACAAGCTATGTACAGGCTATGAACAGGATATAAATATGAAATAAAAAACTATACAGAAATATGCGATATACAGTTATACAGAAATGTGAACTATGCAAGTTATAAACAGTTGTAGGATTAAAAATTATCGTATGTACAGAATGATTATTTACACAGAACTATACAGTAGTGCAGTTAAGATAAGTGAGATATGTGGATAGAATGAAAGGATGAACGCTACTTACATTAGAATTCTTAATTGATTCATATTACGTATGTTTTAATATACCATTGAGGTGATTTGTTTTAAACGTTTTGCTGATTTGCAGTCTTTCCAAGAACATAAATCTAAAAGCTAAAAACCTTTAGGCTGTTGACATTAATAAAATGTTTTGTAAGTGACATCCCGAGAGAAAATAAAACTCCCTTTGAACTGTGATGTTTTATACATATTTATTTGAAAAGGTAATTTACAAACCCTCAATTTTAGCTACGAAACACCAGAAAATATCCAAAGATGAGGGAACTGTGGACAGGACAGTTTTACACCTGCAACAGCTTAGATTAATAGGTACTTGAGCAGATGCTACCAATGAACATACATATCTAAATAGGTGTTGTAAAGATGAAAAGATTACTCAGATTTGTCTCTTTCAATCTTTAAAGTGAAACTTCCACAGTTCATATTACATGAAGGCAAAAGTAAATTGTAATGCATAGACCAGGAGTAGGGGAACTTCGGGCCTCAAGGGCAGGTTTCCTGCAGGTTTTAGATGTGGCCTTGATCCAACACAGCTGATTTAAATGGCTAAATTACCTCCTCAACATTTTTTGAAGTTCTCCAGAGGCCTGGTAATGAACTAATCATTTGATTCAGGTGTGGTGACCCAGGGTGAGATCTAAAACCTGCAGAACACTGGCCCTCGAGGCCTGGAGTTTCCCACCCCTGGCATAGACCATACAATGCAGTCCAGCAGACATTATGGGGTATTAAAGATGTAAATTCATATTTTGAACATTTTCTTTCTATTGGTCTGTAAGAAGACTTGTTTTGGAAGCAAATTAGCCCAAACTCCCAAAATTGACCAGTGTGTGTAGTTTTTAGCTGCACTGTCTCACCTTGAACTGTAAACTGAATCTGCTATTCAGCTAGTACAAAGTGTAATGATGGATTGTGTTGCTGTGTGACAAGCACTGGTTATAGTGCAGAATGAAATCATTTGAGGTCATAGTCAAAGGGTAAACATCGTACCTCCTGCACATCACTTTTGTCCGGGCCTTCGTATGAGAAAGGTCCGAACATTACCCCGACGTTTTCCAGAGTTGATGTGCAAAAATGTCTTCAAATGTCAACGTCATTAGAACGTTATCCCACTAATGTGTTGGCTATAAATTTCTATTCCAATCGAACCTTTCTGTGAAGTTTTATCATCCCTCCTACTTCCAGGTTCAGGTATCCTCCTCTTCATCTTCCACGCCAACTTCCTGAATGAGATCACAGCCAGGCTATGCGGACCTTGCAGTGTGCACGCCGTGGTGCTCAACGATAAGTTCCAGCTGCCCATTTTCCTGGTTGGTTGAAATGATGATTACACAACAGTTGGTTAAAAACCAAATGTGCCAAGTGATTAATGAAAGATAAAATTAAGAAATTTGATAAACTATAAAACAAATCAACAAAAATAAAACTAAAAAACAATTTTAATCCATCTGATTTTTATTATATTAAACCCTCTTTTGATATCATTCAGAGCAGCCGTTTGTCTATTGTTTACCCTCACTGTCTCTCTTTACAGTGTTTTTCACTATTGCTCCTTTGAGCAAATGAACAAGCAGTTCACAGGAGACCATGCAGCCATGTTTAATGTCACTGTGTGGATTCAATGTACTTCACCTCATTAAATCGTTTAAATTTAGCCCAGAGTGCTAATTTTTCCCCTTTTTTTTTCTACTTTTTGCCTTCAACGTTTCAGGATAGTCACTTCATCTACTCTTTCAGCCCAAATCCAGGCATCAACAAACTCTTCATTCGCCTTGCAGAGGCGCCAGCAGCCAAGGTGACACACACACACACACACACACACACACACACACACACACACACACACACAG